TTTATGCGATGTATGTTAGTAAGGACTCAGTATTGGAATAGTCTTGTTGTAATAGCCAATTTGTGAGTTTAGATTTAAGTTGATAACGATTTAAATCTAATATATTGAGGGTTTTGTGGATTGATTTATAAATGTGTGAGCTCAAGATGTAGTGCTGGTGTTTGGCGAAAACGGTCTTGTGTTGTATACTTGGCGGATGGTTAGTGCGTTTTGCTGGGTCAGACTTGGGCAAAGTGGCATGCTTACTGAGGACGGATTGGAGTACATACAATTGGCGAACTGTGAGCACCCTGCAATCAGCGTACAATTGGGTGGTTGGATACCTATAGGGCTTTTTCAGCATTACCTTCAGAACCGTTCGCTGAGCTCTCTCGGCTTTAAGGAACTTGGTTTTACTAGCACCACCCCAAACCGTGATACAGTAACTGATTACTGATTGGCATAATGTGAAGTAGACCATTTTCATGATGTTGAAGTCTGCTGATTCTCTAAGTCTTTTGAAGACATGGACTAGTCGCAAGGTCCTGGTTGTTATCGTATCAAGATGAACATCCCATTTCAGCCCGTCATCGATCTGCACTCCCAAATATTTCACCTGGTTTGTTCTTGTGAGGGGTGTGCAGAGACAAGGGGTCTGTTGGTCAGTACAGGTGTGCGCTGTTAGAAGGAAAGAGCTAGGTGGTTTTGCGTTACTTCTCATTGCGAATGGTATGAATGCAGTTTTTTCTAGGTTTAGTGTGAGAAGGTTTGCTCTTAACCATTTTATTACTGCAGACATAGCATGTTCGGCATTGTTTTTAACTGCTTCCCACGTAGGTCCGCAAACAATGATTGCCGTGTCATCAGCATAGGTGAAGATGTTGCTATTTGGGAGGGTCATACGGCATAGATCATTTACATATAGCTGAAACAAGGTAGGTCCCAAGATGCTACCCTGGGGTACTCCGAAAGTTACCCTATGCTCATCACTAAAGTAAGTTTCCACTTTAACTTTTTGGGTACGGTTCCTCAGATAATCTTTGAAGATGTCAAGTACAACTCCCCGAACACCATATCGCTCCAACTTAGAGATTAGAATGGGAACAGAGACCGTGTCAAACGCCTTGGAGAGGTCCAGAAAAATTCCTAGGCATTTCTGTTTCTGGTCTAGATTCTTGGCAACATATTGGGTCAGGTCTGCAACAGCATTTTCGGTTGAGACCCCACGTCGAAACCCATACTGATTTGGTGCAATTATGTTATATTTGTCAAGAAACCCCATCAGATGTTTATTAAGTATCTTTTCAAAAATTTTAGATAGCGAAGATAGGACTGAGATGGGTCTGTAATTGTTGACACATGCTGTGACCATTAGCTACTTTATATTTTATTATATATGGCTTTGTGGCACCGACTTCTATCCTATCAGTGGGTGTGTAAGCTATAAGTACGTAGGTACGACCACTAATAGTTATTTGTTTCCTTTTTAGTTTTTACTTTTCGTTTGTCTTTAGTTTTTGAAGTCGGTTTTTTTAAACGCAGATTTTTAATTTTATTTTATACTTTTTAGTTTAGTACTTGATACCTATATGATATGAATTATATTATACACAACCCACATGGATGCAAAGTCCTAATCAATACAAATTATTCAACCTCAAACACCGGGTGGCTACCTACTCTTAACCATTGAGGAGTTCCCTTAGCTATCGTACTACTTCATTATCAGACCCTTATTGACAATTACATCCTACCTAGGTGTAAAGTCCTCATCAATACAAATTAATCAAACCTAAACACAAGGTAGCTACTGTTAACCGTTGAGGAGTTCCCTCGACTGGCTCTTGGCTCCATCATCAGATCGACTCCAGCCCTTTATAAGATTGTAGTGGTTTTGAATACTTAATGAAAAAATTACCAAATGCACTAGTCGCCCCTACAATTTTTAAAAGTTCCCCTCGGATTCCCTGGTCTTCCATCATCAGATCCTGATTTCCTGATCATGGGACCATTCTGGGACTATCTCCTTTCCAATAGAAAAATAATTATCGAAATCGGTTCATAAATAACGAAGATATCGGCGAACAAACAAAAAAAAGCATATATACGGTCGAATTGAGAACCTCCTTTTCGGAAGTCGGTGCCATAAAATCGAAACATTAATATTAAAATTCATTAAAACCTAAATAATAATAGGTCTTTACATAAAAGAAAACTCAGGTCAATATATGATATTAAAAAATGGACAGGTGCTATCAGGGGAGAATGCGCGGAGGAGTATGCTCGATACTTTCAAACTGCGGCGAGTAGCACCGCAAGATGGCGCGTGGGCGATTCTCGGCACGCTGGAGCGGGCGGCGCGCGGTGAGGCGTGCGCTCGCTCGTCTACCACCTAAGCTTAGGTTACCCTTGACCCTTCGGTTTATTTTATAATGTATGTATATGTATGTTACAGTATTCCCAATATTCATTCCATACGACGTATTTATAGTATCCATGATAAGGATTCGGATATAAGTACATACTTATCGGATATAAAAACCCATTATTTTACAGTTACCTGGAATTCAAGTGTTCTAATTTGACCATTTGGTTAATGAGAAAAAACGTCTTTATGACAACAAATATTTGAAATTCGTCTTTACTGTGAATTGTGATTGACAATAAACCATAGTGCATTATTTGCTTTGAAAGTTTATTAAGAGAAAGCATGAAGCCATCGAAGTTAACACGCGGTGACACGCCACCTTCACACAAAACATCCCAATGTTGAAAGCGTTGCTTGCTAGTTATCGAGTGGCTTCTCGTGTGTTCAGAGCAGCAGTAAGAGCAATTTTAAAGTAACAGTCTTACGTAATAAATGAATATTCATTGTCTGACCCCTCCCCCTCCTCCCCTCCACCTTTTATCCTCAGTGGTTGTAGCATGGTTATGGTCGAACCATTACTACTGTGACGGTCTGTCATGTACCCCTAAAATATAAACAAAGAACATCCCAATATTTTAAAGTGTCAAATTTCCAATGAGTCACGTGTTAGGCAATTCATCTTATATTTTATGGAATCCCATATTAAGATAACTAATAGGCAATTGAGTTGTAACTTGTCAAATAACATTAAGGGTAAAGTAGGACTGTTGGGCGAACAACACAATACGACGCGCTACATCTGGTTGCAATAATAATGACCCGAGAGAGAGGTCCTTACAAATAATTGACACGTTGTATTGTAACTTTCGTGAGACATACTAAATAAATTATTATGTTTTCGGCTTACTCACGTAGTAATTCGACGAGGAACTCGACTAGTTTCAAGCCATGCTAGAGGCTCATATTCATGAGCAGCATTTCGCGACCCGCGACGCGGCGACTGTCGCGCTGCTACTGGCTACTCGAGTCTGCGGGCCCAGCGCGCCCTCGAGTTCCTCGTCGAATTACTACGTGAGTAAGCAATATACAATTC